TGAAAAACTTCGAAAGACTGGTCTAATTCTTGTGAAAAAATGATAAATTGAAAAAGTGACCAAAAGTAACAAAGAAAATTTAAGTAAGAACAATTTCTTTTTATTTAGTGTATTTTAAATTTATTTTTTGGATTTATTTATATATATTCATATATATTCCTTTATATCAACTTCCTCATAACATTTTTATAGCATATATTTACACTTATATAATATTTCTCTATATAAATATATATTTTTAAGGTAATTTAATATTTCTCCAAATTTTTCTACATTTTTTTCTTTATTTTTTAATATATTTACAATTTATTTTTTTTAATTTTTATAAAGTTTAGATTATTTCATTGCAATAATAAGTTTATTCACGTTGCATGCTCCATATGCTTTAACATGCTTCTACAATAGCTTTTGATCATTGCTACGTCTTTTATTCTAGTCTGTATCATTGAACTATAATACAACTGGAACGTGCACTGCTGATGCATTAGTTGAAAGAGTGGAAGACGTGGACGAGATAGCATGATGTTTGGCGGGTATACCTTTCTCTTTTTAATTATCTGCGCATGCGCGTAACATAACGTTATATTCATACTCAAAAGTAAAAATCACTTTCTTATATAGCTGAACTGACACGATTCTTATAGCAAAATATATTATAATTATTGTTTTTCATCTGATGTATTTTATTCATATAATGCTTTTATTTTAAATCACTCAGGGCCAATTGTTCCATCTTTTGGAAACTTAAATTTTACCTGTTGGGTAGCAAGATTACCCAATCATATGCGTTGATTACCAGATTTACCTCACAAATAAAATTTACCAAAAGATGGAACAACCGGCCCTCACACACACATATCTACCTCTATTTACCGGTAAACCTTTAAAACCTTCTAACTTGACTGTACGACAAAAAGAGTTATATCTACGATTTGCTGACTCGGCATGCATTCTAGTGGCCAGTGCACGTTCCAGTTATAGTAAGGCTTAAACACAATAGGCACAGGCAATAGGCACAGGGAAAAGAGAATAATGAGCTGTCCAATCAGAGCTCTCGGATATAATATCGAATTTACACATCAGAGCTCTGATTGGACAACTCGTTATTCATTGTTGCCTGTGCCTATTGCCTGTGCCTATTGTATTTAAGCCTTTATAGTTCAGTAGTTTGGGGGCGACATTCGTAGTCAATCAATTCTTGTATTCAAGGCCGTCTTAAATACAGACTTAAGATGTTGCTAATTAATTAAAAGGCTGCATTTGCATCTTAAGACATTACTTAAGACGATCTTGAAATAAGAACGGACTATGAATACCGGCCTATGTGGTTATTTAAATTCGAGAAATTTAACTCGCTTTGTCCCTCTAATGGAGGTGTCGCGAACTGCTCAACAATAATTCGTTTATATTCGCTGTATAGTTCAATGACGCTCCGTTTAAAAAAAAAGTTTTTTAGTTTTATATCCTAGAAGTGTATATAAAGCGTAGAACGATCCGTATACTTTTTGTGGAACGTTTAGGAAGCGTAGACGAAGTATTAATGGAGGAAGTGTATCGATACGCTCCATGTACTTTTTGCGAAGTGTTGTGGAGCGTTTGAGAAACGTTAATGAAAAATAAAAAAATTTTAAACGTGTGGGAAATGTAACAGATGAGTTTCGGCATATTTTATGGAGCGTTTGGAGAGAGTTTGGGGAGCATGTATGAATATTTAAAATCACTAAGAATCAATGGAAAGTCGATGAAGTTTAAGAAGCATTAAAACTCTTTGTTCACACTTCTTTGATGCTTCGACAAACTTTACATTTTCATCAAGGATAGCATGTAAGCGCGGTAACATGATCATTATAAGAGCGTTCTGAATACAGGCTCGTTGGGGGTTGCACTAACATTACTTTGATTTTAAGCGATGCTTAAAACTCTCTCTATCTTTTTCCTTCTTTCAGCTTTAAAGAAAGAAACTGAGAGTTTCGTTTAAAATTAAAGTACATTGATGCAATTGAGCATTAAGATGATTCTTTAATAGTATAGGCGAGAGGTGCCTCACTATTGCCCATCCAAATTACAAATATCGACATAATTTGGATAAAATATTAAAACTACACGCGCGTGTAATAAAATATGTATTATGAAACACACGATAATAAATCAAGAGTTGCATCTTCATCAAACGAAAACAAGGTAAGATTATGTTTACTTTTTGAGGTTAAATTTATATATATGCAAGTTTATGTATACATAAATATCTTTCCAGAATGGAAAGCCGACCTATTATTTTTTTGTGATCATTAAAATCGTAATTTTTAAAACTATTATAATCTTGTTCAATTTTTGACACGTACATATGCTGCGTGAGATATTGCTATGGTAGTATAAAGAGTGTGGTCGAGTTGCCACTACGAAGCATTTGATTAACCAATCGGAAGAAAGAATTTTACTAATTTTACTAAACCAATCAAAAAATGCTTCGAAGCATTCATAGAGGCAACTCGATTGCAAAAAGACATGTCGATGTGTGGCGCACGGCGCGACATCTAGTGATTTCGTCGGAGTTTGAACTCTGCTTTAGGATCCTCTTAAACCTCGATTAAAAATTAGGGAGCGTTTATATTGACCGTAACTGTATGCCGTATAACTGTATGCCGTAATCTGTAAGAATTGATTAATCACAGTCAAATATTCCCCTCTCATTCGACTGTAAGAAGAGAATACTCGAAAGTGATTGGTCAATTTTTATAGATTATGGCATACGGCATACGATTATAGCCAATATAAATGCTCCCTAAAGCTTATTCTACAATAGTTGTAAGCGCAGTTGTAAGTGATTGTAGTTGTAAGAATTGACCAATCACAGTCAAATATTCTCTTCATATTCGACTTGATTGGTCAATTCTTATAACAACCACTTACAACTACGCTTATGACTGTTGTAGAATAGGCTTAACTCCGATTAAGCTAATCGATCGATTAAATTTTAGTATTTCCAACTGCAAGAAAATATAACTTAATTTTCTGTGAAGAACGATGTAATAATAATAGCACAGATTTTTATTAATCACAAATTTCTCAATCGCGAAAAAGCCACGAGTCAAGCATGTGAATACTCGGCCCCGCCAAAAAAGGATGTTTTCAAGTCTTGCAGTTGGCAATATTTAATCGGCCGATTAAGTTAATCGAAATTGGTGAGATTATGGTGGTTGGTATAGCGGATTACATCAGGTTTTAAACTGATGTGGGTTGAATTGAGTTGAATTAATGCTTCATTACAATAAAGAGGCTAGGCATGCTTACCGAGCGATTGAATATGATTGGTTGGATCTCTAAGTAACAACCAATTATGCTCGGCGAGCAGGCTAACCGCTTTATCAACTTAAACGCACTCATTGATTGCGAAGTTGTAATTGGTGACGCTGTTTCGTTCCGCTGTAAATTTCCGCTTCATGGAACGTCAACGAGGAGCACAGACTCTTGCATAATACATAACATATAATGCATAAGAACATGTATCAATCAAAATCTTTCGTTTCCTTCCTTTCCATAAAATAAAGAACTCTGATTGGTTGGATTTCTTATGTCTTATGTGTTATGCATTATGCAAAAGTCTGTGTTCCCCGCTTTACTTTTCGCACTTTCATCTCACGTGAGCTTGTTTGTGTGATTCAGGAGACTTATTATGGTTCTTTAGACGAAATAAAAATTACAAAAGCGAACTTACTAGGTGTTAATCAATGAAATTATAAATATTCTAGTAAATTCGATCACTTTCGTAATTTTCACCTCATTTCAAGAACCGTCATAAGCCCCTAGGGAGTCGATTGTGTATTTCGAAACCTAAGATTTGTTTGCGTCGCATGCTCCAACATGCTCCAACATAGTTCCTACTCACTCTAATGAGTGCATTGAAATGAGTAGGAGCTATGATAGGAGCATATTGGAGCATGTTGGAGCATGCGACGCAAACAAACCTGTAGTGCATATGATAAAAGTGAATTCTCATTTGATTGGGTAGTTTTGATCATAGTGAAAATGCGACATTTCTCACGAGACATTGCTCGACAAGAAATTCTATGTCAAATTGTATCAAATGGTGTCAAAGATTGGTTAAAATTTGTCAAAATTCATTCTACTTAAAGGCATAGATTATTGTTTCCACCAATGGACATTATTTTTATGCTTTACATGGAGAAAAATGACAACGAAAATAATAAAATTCGCAAAAGATATTTAAATAAATCATTTTATAATAAGAATTATAATTTTATAATTAGAATTAATAATAGGGATTTTTAAGGATAACTTAAGAATGCCATCCTTTAAGAATGATCTTTAATTGTATCAATAAAAGAATTAAAAGTTTGGCCAATAAAAAATCCTTAATGATAAATAATAATATTGGGTCATCTAAAAAGTATCCGCGGTACTTTGTCGCTAGATATATGACCATCAATACACATCTAGTGACAAAAAACCGCGGATACTTTTTAGATGACCCAATATTAACTCGGATGTCGGTGACAATGGTCTAGTCCGGATTAGAATGTAAGAACCAACCAACTACAATCGAGCATTCCCCCTGTCAGTCGACTATAACAGGGGAATACTCTATATAGACTATAGTTGGTTCTTATATTCTGATTCGAATTAAACCTTCGGTGGAAATTAGATGGAGACTTAGGGTCACTTTCACCAAGCTCCGATTAACTTAACAAGCTTAGTAACTTTGCAGGATTCCAACTGAAGCTGATGTCGGAGAAAAAATGCAAAGAGAGAAGTTATAAATATAAATTTGTAACACTAACTTATGTAGCAAGGTTTCTCTCTGGTAGCTGTTTGTTAATAACCTATTTTTGTATTCAATATAGTATGTAAAATTACAGTTAATTATAATTATTGAAATATGTTTAATTCTTCAGTTCACTTTTTTTTTTAAATTTAATAAAAGATGCTGAGTTATTGAACACCTCTTATTTTAACATATTGGTCGACATACATAGACATTGTAATAGTTTTGAACAGATTTGTTTTTATTGACTTACTTTTATTTAACCTATACATTACGGTTGAGGTTCACTTAGCGCTTCAAACACTACGCAGCATTTGTAGCACTGACATGACTAGTTCACTTGATGTTTCGGAACGCTCCTAGCAACTCTAATTATGTCATCGTTTTTGCTCCCGCTTCGCTCCAACTGTCTCATCTCAGAAGTTGGATTGGTTGAAGCATTCACATTGCAGTTGTAGCATTCGGAACAGTAATGAACCAATCGAAGCGTAATGTTCAGAGCATTTGGAAGAAGCAAGTGGATCGCAGCCCACATCAGTCAATGTTTGCACGAATCATATACATGCATCAACATACATCTAGTGACAAAAAACCGTGGATACTTTTTAGATGACCTAATATATACAATATTATCATGCATATACTTATACATACGTATACATGATGGCCTGCATTCAGAACGTGCTTACAACGATGTAAGCGCGTAACGTGCTATAATTTACGTTACGCATACTATAGAATTTTAGAGATAAAAGCGCGTTCTGAATACGGACCGATGTATATGTATAATATAAAGGGTATGCTCAACGCGATGTTGCAAACGCTTAGAAGCGTTTTTTTAATTGATCAATTTGTAAAATTCTTTCTTCTAATTGGTCCATCAAATGCTTCAAAGTATTAATTTGTAGGGAACTTTGACACAGCCATACACACACATCATATTGAAAAAAATTTTCATTTTTCACATTTCCGTTCTAGGGGAAAAGTTATATGATTCGATTCGATGACGTCACAACCGAAGGAATTGTATGTGGAAAGTCATGAAACACGCCGCACTCGACTGGGCGTGTTTACTCTGAATGCTTTGAATCTTCGTTCGATACAATTGTGGGATTCGCACATTATACGAGGTAAGAAAACTCGAAAATCAGTTCTGTTATCAACGTAAAAGTCTGCTCATATAATAAAGGAATTTTTCTAATCTAAGGAAACATAAGATTTGTTTACACAAATTAATAAATAATCAAAAGAAATGGAAGAAACACAGTGAGAGCGGGAAAACAAAAATGCATGGCCTATGCTAAAGTGTTCAAAAACCTTCAATAGCGATATTGTAATTCGAATTGAGAGAGAGAAAGTACGCACTTTTCGAAAATGATTACCATTTTCCAAACAATGACGCCAATCGTAATCGCTTTCTGGTTCTACTGCCTGTTGGGCGTTGTCGGTCAGTATGAGTGGCAAGCTCGTGACTCCTTCGATGAGATTCGTATGCAGATGGATAAGGTGAACGACGATAATTGTCAAATACAGCACCTTGGTGATTTGTATCTGCCGGATGATTCGATATCGCATTTGCCTGACATAAAGGACATCAATATCAATCCAGTGTTCCCGAATCGTACAGCTTTGTTACATCTTCATAACATGGCACTCAGCAGGAGCTTCTTCTGGAGTTACATTCTGCAATCACGCTTTATTCGACCAGCGATCAATGATACTTATGATCCTGGCATGATGTACTATTTCTTGTCCACAGTAGCAGATGTTTCTGCTAATCCATACATCAATGCTTCGGCTATTTATTTCTCACCTAATATGTCTTACTCGCCTTCCTATAGAGGTTTCTTCAATAAAACCTTTCCCAGATTTGCACCACGAACTTTCAGGGCGGATGACTTCAATGATCCTATACATTTGGAAAGAATATCCACTAGAAATACATTTACTATACAAGATTTAGGATCATTTCCTACTACCAGACTCAGTGATGATTATACCACTGATTTTTATCGTATAAACGAATGGTATGTGAAAGTGAATAGTGGAAACTTGTATTAAAAAAAAAATTATCTAGCAAAACTAATTACTTTTATAATGTATATAATTGTTTATAAACTTTTATATTTAAATAAATTTTATTAATTGATGGATATAGAATCATATATTCTACTTGAATTTATTTACAGGTATAAAAAATGGTTACCAGATAATGTAGGTAAAAGACATGATACCAAAACGACATATCACGTTGAAATTCGTTATGCTAATAATACAAATGAAACATTTAACTTCCATGGTCCACCTGGTAATGAAAGAACTACAGAAGCTACTTTAGAATGTCAAGTTTATATTTATTTTTATCATTTAATTTTATTATGCAGCTGCTGATGAATATCCTGGACCTGTACAATGGACTAGACCTTATTTTGATTGTGGCCGATCAAATCGATGGCTTGTAGCTGCGGTATCACCTGTAGCAGATATCTATCCACGGCACACTGGTTTTAGACATATTGAATATCCAATATACACTGCCGTTTCAGTGATGGAAATGGATTTTGACAGAATAGATATAAATCAATGTCCTAAGGGTAAAGGAAATAGTGGTAACAACAGATTTGCTAATACCGCAAGGTGCAAAATTGATACTACAGAGGTATATATTTAAATCCTATTAAGTTTATTAATGGACGATTACACACTAACTTGAACTAATACACACATATGTATCCGATCTACAGTGTGAACCGATACATGGTTGGGGTTTTAGAAGAGGTGGATATCAATGTAGATGTAAACCAGGTTACAGATTACCGACCGTCGTACGACGGCCTTATCTCGGTGAAATAGTAGAGAGAGCCACACAAGAACAATACTATAATGGTTTCGATTGCTCGCGGATCGGCTGTATGCATTAATTTGATTTTATTGTTTTTTTTTTAACTTAATCACGATATTGCCAAGCACAAGAATTTTTTTTAACAAGAATTTTATTCTGCAGGGGTTCATAAAATGCCAGTACAATGGGAGAAAGCAAAACCATATCTCAGAGAAAAATATCTCGAGCAAAATCATCATTATAGGAATTATTCAATTGGTTCATCTTCATTACAGGATACAAAGTTGAACATCGACCAAGCTCTTAAATTCATTTTGGGTATGAACAAGGACACTTGCAAGAAGTATGTTATCTTATTAACATATCGTACATTTCCTATTGAAATATTCGAATTTGTACAATTTCCAAATTGTGATTTCAGTAAAACGTTACCAGAGTTAATATTACGTGGAGACATTAGTTTTGGTGCAGAAGAGTTTTTCGAAAATGAAGCGAAAATGGCTACCAGATTGGCAAATTTTATCAGTGCGTTTCTACAAGTATCAGATCCCTTGGAAGTTTACTCTGGCAAGAGAGTAGCCGACAGACCGCTAACAGAAGATCAAATGATAGGGGAAACACTAGCCTTGGTGCTTGGCGATACAAAGATATGGACAGCTGGCACTTTCTGGGATCGTAATAAATTTACCAACAGAACATTCTTTGCCCCATACGCTTACAAGACACAGTTAAATACCCGCAATTTTAAAGTCGAAGATTTAGCTAGACTCAATAAATCAGGTAAAATAAAATAAGATGATGACTGAAGATGGTCTAATTAAGACCGAACGTCTATATTTTATTATTCTTTTTACTTTTAATAAATTGATTATTATTCACTGTCAACATCTTGCATAGTAGTGTATGTCCTTTATAATATTATTTTAAAATAAAATAAATTTATTTACAGATGAAGTATACACGAAAAAGAGTTATTTTCAAGCATTGAAGCAACGTTGGGCAACAAATTTTGATCAATTGGAAAAATACTATATGAAGATAAAGATTCGATTTAATGAAACAGGGGAGCACCTGAAAAAGTACGAGCATTATCCAAATCATTACAGGTAAAAGAAATGTTATTTGTTAATGCAAAATTCGCGTGATTGTATTTTGTCGATGTGCTCCAAAGTGATGATAAAGCAGTGGAGCATTAAAGTATAAAAGGATTACGTTCCCGAAAGCTTGGGGGGAATCCAATCTCTAAAGTACGATTTATTCTAATGTATGGGAATGTGGCGAATGGGCTGTCTGTGTAGGGCAGCAAACCTGGACCATGGACATTGGACAACTCCGTACTTCGATTGTAACGGTACGAATAAGTGGGTAATTACCTATGCATCCCCATTTTTCGGCTGGGACAGCTTGAAGGTGAAACTGGAATTCAAGTAAGTGTTCTCATCGGAATGTAATCACACATAATAGGAAGGAGTGCACTATGTACATATTTATATATGTTTGTATGTATGTTTGTGCACACACACACACACACACACATGTATATATATATGTATACATGTATGCATGCATACACATGTGTGTATATCTGTACATGTCTGCGCGCATGTATCAAAGAAATTTAATATGAGAGACACTGTAGAAACACAGAACCAGTTTTGTAATAAAAAGGGAAGAAACGAGGAAGATCACATTTAACAATAAGATACTTACAGGGGTATCGTGGCTGTTACGATGGATATGCTTCAGTTAGATATAAACCAATGCGATGATAAATTTTACAAACCAAATGCATTCAAGGATACACACAAGTGCGATAGAAAAACATCATATGTAAGCAGGCATCATTCTATTTTATTGAATAATAATATCTATATTATGTAAATGTAAAATATTGCAAAATATCTTTATATTTCATAATTTCGAAGCACTTTCATCAAACTAGTATAATATTACTTACGTTAATAATTTTAATAATTTTATTATATAATAAATAATAATAAATTTTAAACACTTAATTTCCATAGTGCGTGCCTATTCTTGGAAGAGGCTTTGAAACAGGTGGATACAAATGTGAATGCAAACAAGGCTTTGAATATCCATTTGAGGATTTAATTACATATTATGATGGACAATTAGTGGAAGCTGAATTTAATAATATCGTTAATGATAAAGAAACAAGGTAAATTCATTTTTTTATACTTTTTCTCTTTGTAATTGTACAAAAATTATATGTTTGTCTTAAATCTTCTATTAATAATTGCATAACAAATGATTTATAAATTTTATAATGATTATTATTATTGTATATGACATACTATAGACATGTTATTTTAGATATGATATGTTCAAGTGTCGATTGGCTGGTGCTTCGTCAATTCAAGTAAATTTGATACTACTGTTATCAGTACTGATATTCTTTCTAATTCAAAGAAGAGTTGAAAATCTTTAATATTTTATGAGACAAAGTAGCTAGTGCTATAATTGCTGTATTAGCAATTACCTTTTTTTAAGCCGTCCATTATAAATGTAAGTACTACTAAAGATATATAAATATTCAGGATATCCCAAGCCTACCATACCATCTGCTAATGACAGATTCCTGAAGTCATTTTGAGATGAAAATTCTAATACCAAAATGTTAGGGCTATAATAGTTTTTGAATTATAAATATTTAAAGGTAGCGAATCATGTTGCTTAAAGTTTGCGCATTTATTAGATTGACATTTTATTTCACAGTACAGTGCAAAATCCAATGCCAACATCTGAACTCACGAACTTTAGGCGATTAGCTAACTTTAATCCCTTCAGACTCTATGTACATTTTAGTGTAGGGGAAACCGAGGCTAGTAGACTCATTTTTCAGTTTCGAATTTTTACAGACAAAATTAAGAGACTTCGAAAAAATGAATTCTATATCAGTTACTACATACATTTGACTACCTAATAATATTTTAATAATAAGAGGAAACTGATAACTAATATGAAAAAAAATGCTTTTCTAATACATTCCATCATTCAACTAGCTCCGGAACCGGGGTAATTCGACTAAGATTATTAAAATAAAGATTAATGTATTTTAAGCTACATCTTTGGCTACATATTAATAAAACTTTTATAAAAATATATTTTTAACACAAATATTCGTTTAATACTTCTTTTTGCAAAATTTGTTCATTTCGTGCAAAAACGTCAAATTAGCCTACTTTTCGAGATTGGACATGAGAAAACTAAATTTATAACATTTACCACTGAGGAAAATCTTTTTAAAGGAATAAAATTTTGAGTAAGAATTATAAGAGTCGTCACTAAATGAGTCGTACAGTTTCATGCTGTGATTAATCTACTATCCCCATTCGTTCATTTTTTAAAAACATTAACAATATACGATAACAGAGACACATAAACAAAAAAAATCTATTGGACTTTTTTATTAAGTAAGAACTACTTACTATCTAAGTAGAAATCAAATATCTCAGATAATCATATACGACAGTAAAACAAAAACTTTAAGAATAAAAATATTTACTTAGCTACACGATTTTTTAAAATTGTGGCATAACTTCTATCATAGATGTGTTCGCAACAAGATGTTACAGCAGACTTAGCGTCTGCAGTCGG